GGTGAGAGTTTGCCAAATGTGCCTTCCTCTTAGCTCGCTCGGCCCGAAGTGAGATGAGCACCGCACCCCATTCTCGCCTTTGACTGGACTTAACCGTCCAGGTGTCCTTTACCTTTGCCAGAGGCAGTATGCCTCTGCATACCAGTTGCTGGAAATCTCAGGTGAGGAGAGTGCTGTTGTGCTCAGGTCCTACATTCGAGCTTCCCATAGGTATCTGGTTGGGAATGTGGTGCTGGACCAAATGAGCTATTGGCCTGAACTAGTAGGTTCTTCTTAACTTTCATACGGATGCCATAGACATTATCAGTCCTTCAGGTGTGACTTCCTCTGTGCAGGGAATAAATATTACCTGTGCTTTGTGCTGTGGCTAGCATATTTTTGATCCTAAATCACTAATTAACCTGGTATCCAGAGGGCTACAAAAGCCCTGGTTTAGCAAGCACTAATCATAGATGAAGGAAAAGCTTGAGAGCCATATGTTTTCATCATTCTTCACCCAAGTGAAATCAGGGGCGGACTTTGGAAATCTTTCGTAATATGGCACCCCTGTGCAAGGCCAAAATTTGGTGCCCCCAAATGGATCTTCTCAGTTTTGTGCCCCTTTGACTCACCGCGCTGTGCAGGAGAACTGCCTGCACTGCCCTAAATCCAGGACTGGCGCAATATCATTGTGAAGAATATGAAAGGACTGGAGGTAAATTGGGTCGTGCCCTATGGTATTACCCATTCTGTGAATGCTCAGAGATCCAAGACAAGAATGTAGGTTCTGTATAGTGGAGCTTTTAGAAACATCTCACAGCAACATCGCAAATAAGTGGTGCTAGACTGCTAACTTACTCAGAGATGTGACCTTTTTGTCTAAGTAACCTGTGGAGAAGTTGAGTCCAATTTCTTCTATGGAGACTTGTGTGAAGTGCTGGCAAATTGGAATGACAAGCACCATTCTTGAACTGCATTTGTGGTCATTGCATTATTGGGAGTTGCGTACATCTCTTGTGGTGGCTAATGGCTTGGCCTCTGTATTCCCCCACCCTTAGATGCTCTCCATCTTTGTAAGTGATTTTACACCAAGTTGGTTATGGTACTTTAATGCACAATTTTTCAAGACATGTTTTTTCAAGACATACTTTAGTTCATTGGCAAGAAAACCTTTCAGCATTAAATCAAGAAGCACTTTGAAGGAAATTTTATTTTTGTATAATGTTCCTCAGACCACCCCAAAGGTTAGATCCCCACCCCCGTAACCAGGTCACAAAAGGGACACAGAACCTTCTTTTTTCAGTGAGCACTGAATGCGGTATACATTTGGACTACCTTTTAAGTCTATTGGTGAGCTATTGATTTTTAACTGTGTATCTTTCCCCATGCAAATTGTGTGTGTCTTTATGGGTATTTCAAAAACAAATGAAATAAACTGGTTCATTAAAGCCAACAAACTAGGCCTGATGAGGGGCGGTTGAAGGAGTTGGGTATGTTTAATCTGGGAAAGAGGAGTCTGAGAATAGATATGATAGCCCTCTTCAAATATCTAAAGGGTTCTTACGTGGAAGATGGCGCAAGCTCCCTTCTTTCTGTCCCAGAGGGATTTCCCCAAATAAATGGCTTCAAGTTACAAGGAAGGAGATTCCGACTAAACATCCGGAATGACTTTCTGACAGTAAGAGCTGTTTGTCAGTGGAATGGACTTCCTTCATTGGAAGTTTTTAAGCAGAAGTTGGGTGGCCATCTGTCATGGATGCTTTAGTTGAGAGTCCTGCATTGCAGGGGATTGGACTAGAGCAGTGTTCCCCAACCTTGGGCCTCCAGCTGTTTTTGGACTACAACTCCCATCATCCCTCGCTAGCAAGACCAGTGGTCAAGGATGATGGGAATTGTAGTCCAAAAACAGCTGGAGGCCCAAGGTTGGGGAACACTGGACTAGAGGACACTTGGGATACCGTCCAACTCTGCAGTTCTATGATTCTATAAAACTGGAATTCTACTGAGCAAAGCATTGAAAGTGCTTCATGTACAATGCTGCAGAAAGAAAAAAGAGGGGATGAGTTAATAAATTACTGACGGTAAATTTGCTTTTTATGTAAACTGTATTACTTTTATTGTTGTTAGCCGCTCTGAGCCCGGCTTCGGCTGAGGAGGGCAGGATATAAATAAAATTTACTATTTATTAATTATTATTATTATTATTATTGTTGTTGTTGTTATTATTATTAGAGTGTCCAGGTTTTTTTAAAAAAACTTTCAGTGAAAACTTTGACAAATATTTATTCTCTATCCCCCCTCACCCACACCCAAGTAGCATTTTTCTAATTAGCACACTGAGGTAAGAGATCCGATGGTCGTTTTTGTTGCTAGGAGAACATATAATGCTTACTTATACTAAGGTAAAGGTAAAGGACCCATGGACAGTTAAGTCCAGTCAAAGGGGACTCTGGGGTTGCGGCGCTCATCTCGCTTTCAGGCTGAGGGAGCCGGCATTTGTACACAGACAGCTTTCTGGATCATGCGACCAGCATGACTAAACCGCTTCTGGCGCAACGGGACACAGTGACGGAAGCCAGAGTGCACGGAAACACTGTTTACCTTCCCACTCCAGTGGTACCTATTTATCTACTTGCACTGGTATGCTTTTGAACTGCTAGGTTGACAGGAGCTGGGACAGAGCAATGGGAGTTCACCCCATTGCAGGGATTCAAACTACCAACCTTCTGATCAGCAAGCAGTGCCACCCACGTCCCCTTACTTATACTAAGCCCTTTTAGCTTAGTATTGTCTACACTAACTGGCAGCAGCTTTCCAGGATTTCAGACCAGAATTCTCTCCCAGCCCTACTTGGAGATGGCCGGGATTTGAACCTGGGACTTTCTGCATGCAAAGCAGATGCACTTCCCTGAGCCATGACCCCTCCTCAAGAATGCTTAGATTTCAAGACTCAGGCAGACATCAGAGGGGAAATTATATTGGGTAGCAGCAAGGATACAGACTGTGATAATTACATTAAATTCACAAAGCAGTGTGAATTTGGCCTTCATAAGCTAACCAGCACCTGCAATGAGTTAAAATAAAACCCTTTCTGTTGACACAAGTCCCAAGTACAGGAGTTGAACTTAACGATGCTGCAATTCTGTAGCTTTAGCTTAGAGTCTCCCCTTGAAGGTCCTTTGTTCAAGAATGACCACTTTACGGTCAGCAACAGAGTGGGAAATTCTCTTTCAGACTGGGGTCCTGAGGCAAATGCTTGACCAATGTGAGAAGCAGCTACTGACAGTTTGAATGAATGAATCTGCACAATACATTTAAAAGAGTATCATCCCAACTTAAACCAGTCATGGCTTCCCCTCCAAGAATCTGGGAGACCATAGTTCTTTAAGAGTGCTGAGAGTTGCTGGGAGACTGTGGGTTAAACCACACAGCCTAGGACTTGCCGATCAGAAGGTCGGTGGTTCGAATCCCCACGACGGGGTGAGCTCCCGTTGCTTGGTCCCTGCTCCTGCCAACCTAGCAGTTCGAAAGCACATCAAAGTGCAAGTAGATAAATAGGTACCACTCCAGCAGGAAGGTAAATGGCATTTCTGTGCGCTGCTCTGGTTTGCCAGAAGCAGCTTAGTTATGCTGGCCACATGACCCGGAAGCTGTACGCCGGCTCCCTCTGCCAATAAAGCGAGATGAGCGCCGCAACCCCAGAGTCGGCCACGACTGGACCTAATGGTCAGGGGTCCCTTTACCTTATATTTTCCAGAGTAGTTTCACAGTCAAACCCCCTTCCCTGGAAACTCTGGGAATTGTAGCTCTCGAGGGAGAGAAGGGTCCTACTGATAATTCTCAGCACCCTTAACAAGCCACAGTTCCCAGGATGTCTATGGGGAAGCCATGCCTAAAGTTGTTTGATGCTGCTTTAAATGTCTAGTGTAGATGGAGCCAGAGAGAGAGGTGAACATTGGGGACAGTCATTAGGAGTTTTGCAGCACATTGTCATCAATATGTTGATGGTGTTATAGGAATTCTAAGGTCTCAAATATAAATTAAATGTTCATAAATGTACAAGGTAAACACATACATAAGTATACAAACCATGGTCTGAAATAGTACAGGAGAGCAATCCTGAAGCCATTTTGACTCTCCCAAATAAACCTCAGATATTTCTCTCCAAGGAGAGAGGAAATGGGAAAACCTCCCCATTGTCTTCTTTGCTCTCAAATCCTGTTTTAAGGGCTTATTTGTGTATGAATAGGGTGAGCCTGTGACCTGGAATCAGGAACTAAAGTATTAACCATCACAAAAGAATGGCCAGGTTGCCCAGGTAATGCAATCAGTGACCATTATCAGGTATCCTGGCAGACAGGCTTTCTGCTGTAGACCACCTCCTGTGATGTATGTATGATGTTTTAGTGGGGTGGTCTTGGGCTGCAGGGTGGGCAATTTCAAAAGTCTATATAATGTGTACCATTGTTCAGGGTTCTCCTCCCTCCTGCATGTGGTGAGTGGGGACCCTGTTGCAACGGTTTAATAAAGATCAGGCTTACTAGCTGTTTTGCTTCTCAGTATACTGTGGTTGGCCTCTGTTACTTTCTCCTACCAGTAGGAAACCCACTTAAGGACTCTATATTGGGCTCTTGGATACCCCATAAGGGAAAGGGAGCAGTTTTATATTATAACAGTTGCACATAAATCTATTTGTCTCTAAGATCTGAATCAGGAGAGGCTGTGCAAGCCCTGGATGAGGGCCTGAATGCAGTGGCGGACTGGATGAGGGCCAATAAACTGAGTCTGAATGGTGGGAAGATGGAGGTTTTATGGGTAGGTGGTAGACCCCGTCAGGAAGATAGAACAATTGCTTGTTTTGGATCGAGTTGAATTCCCACTCAAAGATCCGGTACATAAATCAGGTGCCCTCTGTGTTTCATTTTGACTGTGGATTTTTCTGCCATCCATGAGTTATGAAACACTTTAAGAGAATTTGATCTAATCTATTACCCCTCATTTTTCTCTATGCATATCCTCAGCGATGTCTCCCAGACAGGCATCACCACTCTTCCAGCAAGAGGACTGGAAAACCTTAAAGAACTGATGGCTAAAAATACCTGGGCCCTAAAGAAATTCCCCCCTATACAGACTTTTCCTTATCTTGCTAATGCTGAGCTGTCATACCAAAGTCACTGCTGTGCTTTCAAGAACTGGAAGAAAGCCAAGGGGTAAGTCTTAACAATTTAAATTAAATTCTAAAACCATCTGGGGCCACGGTGTCTCCTTTCTCATGAACATGCCCGGCAACTGAGATAATTTTTCAAGGTCCATCTTCAGCTGTGCCCCACTTTCATAAGCCAGGTGACTTCTAGAGAAAGGGCCTTTTCTGGGGTGGCACCCAAACTCTGGAATTCCTTCTCCAAAGGACTCTGCACTCTGCTGATCATCATTTAGGTGCCAGGCCAAATCCATTCTATTCACCCTAGCTTTTAATTATTAATACTATTATTAATTAAATTTCTATACTGCCCTTCATCCAAAGATCACAGGGCAGTTTACAATATAAAAACACAAAAATTACATTGTTACATAATAACAAACAAAAACAATAACCCTCGCACAAACAGTTTAAAAGGCCATAGATTGGGGTGCCCAAACTTTTTTCAAAGAGGGCCAGATTTGATGAAGTGAACATGTGTGAGGGCCGACCAAAGAGTTGTTGAGCTTTTTTTAGGATTTTACCCCAGGACATATACTGCCACGGGGCTGGATTAAATCAACCGGTGGGCCGGATTAGGCCCCCGAAACAGACTTTGGATATATTTTTGCCTGGCGCCTAAAGATATGTAATCAAGGCACCAGGTAAGTCTCCCTGAGAAGAGACGATGCCACAAGTGGGGAGCCACCACAGAAAAACCATCAGTATTCCTTTATTGCTTTTGTTTTGTTTTGCTGGGTTTTATCCTGAATTCTGGCTCTAGTTCAAAATTATTAGAATTAGGATTTCCATCCATGCATCCACCCACTGATTTGTAATGTCTAATATAAGCAGCCTTGTAGACTTCTCATTGTGGAAATTCCTTTTAATAAACATAAATGAATAATAGAATAGCACCATTGCAGGGCAATTAAATAATACATAATAGCATGTTTAATGTGAAATTCTATTCAATTATGTATGTGTCATATTTAGAGAAGGTCTCAGGTAATAGTTTGGGTCCAAAATCCCTTGAATAATATATTTCTTATGCCTAGATTACAATGAATAGCTTCCCATCGCCTCAGTTGCTGGGCTCAACATGAACTAAATACCTTAGTGGTAATTCTTCTTTTCCTCTGTCCTTTTAGACTGCTGGAGTCACTGTTCTGCAACCATACTAATACTCACAACATCCGCAAGAGAAGATCTGCCACTGCCTTCAGGGGCCCCTTTTACCAAGACTACGCAGAAGATTATTCAGACCTCACCGAAGCCGTGTATGACGAGAACTCCAAATTCAGTAGAGATGTTCGTGGGAATTCTCATTACTTTGTCTTTCTTGAAGAGCACGACAACAAAGAGGTTGGGTTTGGCCAGGAGCTCAAGAACCCTCAAGATGAGAGCATGCCAACATTTGACAGCCATTATGACTACATTATCTGTGCGGGCACAGACGACATCAGCTGCACGCCAGGACCTGACGAGTTCAACCCTTGCGAAGACATCATGGGCTACAAGTTTCTGAGGGTCGTGGTGTGGTTTGTGAACCTGCTAGCCATTGTGGGCAATGTTTTTGTCCTCTTCATTCTCCTCACCAGCCATTACAAGTTGACCGTCCCACGATTCCTGATGTGCAACTTGGCCTTTGCTGATTTCTGTATGGGATTATACCTTCTCCTGATCGCTTCGGTGGATCTTTACACTCGATCAGAATACTACAACCATGCTATTGACTGGCAGACTGGGCCCGGCTGCAGCACAGCGGGCTTCTTCACTGTCTTTGCCAGTGAGTTGTCTGTCTTCACCTTGACCGCAATCACCCTGGAACGCTGGTATGCCATCACCTTTGCGATGCGCTTGGACAAGAAAATCCGCCTCTTGCATGCTTCTGTTATCATGTTGGGTGGCTGGCTGGTGTGTTTCCTTCTTGCCCTTTTACCACTGGTTGGAGTCAGCAGCTACGGCAAAGTCAGTATCTGCCTTCCCATGGATACCGAAACGCCCTTGGGTCAAGCCTACGTCATCATTGTTTTGATGCTGAACATCATTGCTTTCATCGTCATTTGTGCCTGCTACATAAAGATCTACATCACTGTGCGGAATCCCCAGTACAAATCAGGAGACAAAGACACCATCATTGCCAAAAGGATGGCCGTGCTGATTTTTACTGACTTCTTATGTGTGGCACCAATCTCATTCTATGCTTTATCTGCCATTATGAACAAACCTCTAATAACAGTCAGCAACTCGAAAATCCTGCTGGTCCTGTTCTATCCTCTGAACTCTTGTGCCAACCCGTTCTTGTATGCTATCTTTACCAAAGCTTTCCGAAGGGATGTCTTCATCTTGCTCAGCAAGTTTGGATTATGCGAGCACCAGGCTCAAGTCTACAGGGGTCAAACAGTCTCCCCCAAAAACAGCAGCGGCTCTTGCAGCCAGAAGGGCAACAGGGGGATGGGCCAGAATCTCACAAACCTTCCTCATAGCTCACCTGAAGACTACCATCCTGCAATACTGCTGCAGTCTCGGGGAACCCTGGCTTAATCTGGATCGCCTAATTGTCAGATCAGTAATAGTAAATTTCTTAACCCTGCGCTACGGTCGGTACCATTTACTGTCCAATTATGCAGCTGCTTGACCGCTGTAAAATAATAATAATTTATTTATATCCCATTCTTCTACCTAAAGTACCCAGAGGGGCATGCAACATTTTCATAAAAACCTTACAATCAATATGAATGCAAGTGCCATTTCTAACAGCAGTAACAAGTTAAAAGCAGCACTTAATGCACAAAATACAAACCTAGCAGCAGCAAGAGCAAAATATGTTACACATCAAAACGAGAGACAATAAGATTAGGGGTCACAGTAAAATTAGGGGTTAAAACCCCTTTTAAATTAATACCTTTCATGCTTGGCAGACAACACACAGAAAGGGAACCCAATGGATTTTGATTAGGAGGGCATTCCAGAGTGGACACACTCTCACAGAGAAGGGCTTGTCTCTTGTGCTCGCTCCTAGGAACATAGGAAGCTGCCTTGTACTGAATCAGATTATTGGTCCATCTAACCCATGGGTAGGCAAACTAAGGCCTGGGGGCTGGAACCCAATTGCCTTCTAAATCCGGCTCGTGGACGGTCTGGGAAGCAGCATGTTTTTACATGAGTAGAATGTGTCCTTTTATTTAAAATGCAGCTCTGGGTTATTTGTGGGGCATAGGAATTCGTTCATTTTTTCCCCTTCAAAATATAGTCCAGCCCCCCACAAGGTCTGAGGGACAATGGACTGGCCCCCTGCTGAAAAAGTTTGCTGACCCCTGATCTAGCCCAATATTGTCATCACTAACTGGCAGCATCTCTCCAGAGTGCAAGACAGGGTTCCATGCCAGGGACTGAACTGGGACTTTGTGCAAGCAAAGCATGTGCTCCAGGCCTGAGCTATATTCCTAAAATAGCACCAGGGCCCTTGAAGCTGATCTTTATTCCTAGACAAGCCCATAGGGGAGCAGGTGATCCTTAAACTAAGCCGGTCTTGAACCATTTATGTCTCCAAGGACTAAAATCAATGCTTCGAATTGAGCCTGGAGAGACATAGACAACCAACGGAGCTGCCCTAAGACAGGTGTTCTATTTGCTGGCCTGCAAGCACCAGAACAAAACATCTGGCTGCTACATTCTGGGACCAATTGAAGCTTCTGAACCATCATCAAATGCAGCCCCACATAGAGTTCATTGTAATCCTGGGCTCTTCTGGCAGAAAGGGCACTTAAACTATCAAGCACCTGTAGCATAGATGACTGAAGCCAAATCCGCCTTCTCCAGATAAGATTGCATATCCGGTGAAGCTGACAAAAGGCACTGCAAGCAACTGCTTCCACCTGAGCATCCCGGGAAATCAATGAATCAAGCAGTACCCCCAAAGCTTGTTCCTTCAAGGGAAGTCCAGCCCCACCTAAGACAGAATGAACAACTTCACCTAGATCACCAGTGTCCACAACAAATAGTTGCCTCCATCTTGTCTAGATTAAGTTTCATCATTTTAACTCCTTCTATATGCACTCATGAACTGCCCGGTTTATCACTTCTGCTGCTTCCCTGGAACTGGTAAATGGGGAATGAGCTGGATGTCATCTGCATACTGATGGCAACTCAGAGGCCTGAGTCTTCAGATGCCCAGCAGTTTCATGTAAATATTAAAAAAACACAGGAGACAAGATGGAACCTTGTCGTTGCCCACAGGCCAAAGCCCATCAGCTTAGAACAGCAGTCTCCCAGCATTAACTTTTGGGTTCAGCCTTCCAGACAGGAACAGAACCACTGAGGAGAGCAGTATCACATAAGCCCATCCCAAACAGATGGCCCAGAAGAATCCCGTGATAGACAATATCAAAAGTGGCAGAGATATCCAGGAGAAACAGCAACATAGCACTCTCTGTGTCCATCTCCTGCTGCAGCTCATCCGCAAGTACAGCAGTGGGGAAATTCTGGGCCTGGCAGCCCAGATCTTTATCTGTCCCCACCCCTGTAGGTCAACTTTGACAGGTGGGTGGCACATCCCACCTGCCAATCACCTGGAAACATTACGATGTCAAAGGCTTAACAGATGGTTTGTCCTGCACATCTGTCAAAGTCCCTTTCCCAAGCACCCGATAGCTGGCTGGGTTTTTAGGCGTGTGGGAGCCAAAGTAAAGGGGCTTTGCAAGCAGAGGCTAGCAGAGCTGCTTTCTGCAGGGATCGGCTGCACAATAGATTCCCCCACAGAGAACTCGGACACCCAGCCAATGCAGTTTTGTCTCTACCTGCCCCACACTTGATGTCACATGTGATGCCCAGCATGGGGCAGGGACTGTGGACAGCATCATGGGTCAAATTTGGCATGCAGACTGAAGGATCCGCACCCCTGCACTGTTGCTACCAAGTTGGATTTCATTCTGATCATCCATGTCACAGGGCTAAAGATTTTCTTGTAAATACAAAGTAGAACCTGCACAGGAAAGGCTACTTGCACATTTTTAAATCTGGTGTAAGGTTTGAAACTTATTTAAAAACAAAATCAAATACGAAGATTTATAATGGAAATAGTCCAAACATGGAATGGAATATGCCTGTCAATTTATTTAAAGAATGCCATCAAGTTAAAATCAACCAATTAAGAGGTGTCAGGGCTTTCTGGCCTGCCTTACATTACTGATGAAGTTGTACAAGAATTAGCACCTAAATAGAGTCACCATGAGGACATATTGGGATGCTACTGCTCAGTACATGTGATGGTCCAAGCGAATGATGCTCTAGGAAGTGAGCATAGCTACATAGAAGAGAAGAAGAAGAGTTTGGATTTGATATCCCACTTTATCACTACCCGAAGGAGTCTCAAAGCGGCTAACATTCTCCTTTCCCTTCCTCCCCCACAACAAACACTCTGTGAGGTGAGTGGGGCTGAGAGACTTCAGAGAAGTGTGACTAGCCCAAGGTCACCCAGCAGCTGCATGTGGAGGAGCGGAGACGCGAACCCGGTTCCCCAGATTACGAGTCTACCACTCTTAACCACTACACCACACTGGCTCTCATAGGAAGTTTTCTTCAGCCTCCAGAGAACATATACTCTGCATTTGCTATCATCCGATCAAAGGAGGCAACAGCTAGCACAAAAGACAGCCCTACCCCAAAAATCCAAGCTCTAGTGGCAGCCCTGAAAACTCTTCAATAAAAGTTCCACCATCTTGAATTAGAGAGGTCACAGGCTGACGGTGACCTAAACTGCCTGTCCAGAGAAGCTGCCCAGTATAAAAAGGCTTTTCAGCATGACTCAAATGAGAAGGATGTAACTTACTAGGAAACAATGCAAGAAATGAAAATTGTAAGCATGCAGTTAGGGGCAGCACAGTCTTGCTACTGTTTGCTGGAGGAGCAACTTGATTACATGAGAAAAATGACAGTCAATGCAGAGTTGGAAAAGAAACTGGTTCTAGAACAGCAGACCCAGATTCCGAAGGGAAAAGGCCAGAATCAGTGCAAAAAATGGACAAGCTTGAAATTCTAGAAAAAGAATGCTGGAGACTTACTAGCACTCAGAAGACTGCACAAGTAAGTAAATACAAGAAGATCAGTAGTTGGATTTCCTAATAACATTTAACATTTGCAAGTCTGAAGTGAAGTGAAGCTCCAGTTGTGGATCTTGATGCTCTAATGGCAAAGGGACATAGCAGCAGAAGTGAGTGCTGCTGTTACCTATACATGTATGCCTCTTGTCCCTGATGCCTTCTCCATATTCCTTAGCTCCACTGAAGACACTGTGTACTTTCAATCAAGGAGTAGCAAGTCTGTTCAATCTGGCTCATCTCCATGCCAAGGCAAAAGTGTGGCGGGTCCTTATCCGAGAGATGTTGTTTGCGGATGATGCAACCTTCACAGCCCACTCTGAGGAAGCTCTACAGAAATTCATCAACTGTTGGGCTTGACCATCAGCCTGACAAAGATCAACAGCCAGTGCTCCATGCATAAGCGCTGGTGACCACAAGCTTGATGATTTTGTCTACCTGGGTTCCACCAAAACAGCAACATCTGCACTGATGCTGAGCTGGACAAGCTGTATTGGCAAGGCAGTCATGGCAATGGCTCACTTTCCAAAAAGGTATGGGAGAATGTGATGCTAACAACCAATACCAAGATGAAGGTCTACCAGGCTTGCATGTTGAGCATGCTGTTTTATGGAAGTGAGCCATGAGCTACTTATACCTGTCTGGAATGACCTCTCAGCCTTCCATACATGCTGTGTCAGGAAGATTTTGGGCATCACATGGCAGGACAGAATCTCAAACAAAGATGTGCTTTTCAAGCTCACATTCCCAGCATGTTCTCACTTCTGTCTCAATAACATCTATGTTGGCTTGGTCATGTCCACAGAACAGAAGACGTCACAGTCCCCAAAGGTGTACTCTATGGGGAGCTGGCTTCAGGCACCAGACCAGTTGGCAGACCAACTCTGTGTTACAAAGATGTCTGCAAACAAGACATAAAGACTGGCAACATTAACCCCGTCATATGCCAATGACCGCAGTGCCTGGAGACAGTCCGGTTGTTTATCCACAGCAGTGACCAGAGGAGAAATGACTGCTGGGAGGACTGCAGGGAGAAGAAAAGTCATGGTACATCTGCAGCAGCACAACCAGACACCTTCATCTGCCCCAGCTGCAACAAAACATGTCTCTCTCACATCAGTCTCTACAGCCACAGCGGACATTGTAACTCTCCAACAGTTTGACTTCACCCATCCATTGTCTCCCAGGACCAATGGATGCCAACAACAACAACATTTGGTGGGCAGGGCTACTTGTTTCTGTTGTATTTCTGTATTTTGGATCTACTAGTGATTAAAATGGTCCCCGTATGCTTTGTTCTGCTTTAAAACGTGGGTTTTTAATTGTGATTTTTGCATTTATTTCTTTTGATGATGATGATGATGATGATGATGTGAACCATTCAGAGATTTTGAAGTGGATATAAGTTACCTAAATAAAATAAAAATAAAAATTTCTAAAACGCTTGTTAATACTCAAGTGCTTAAGATTAGGCTAAATTTTATGTTCTCATGTGTCCTTTTCGGGGGGAAACAATGGGGAAAAACATTTTTTTAGAAAAAAGAATTAGACTAAACAATGAATCTCCCTGTCAAATGAGCAGGCAGTCATAAAAGAGAGCATGGCTGAATAGGAAAAAAAGAAAGAAAGAAATGG